CTGTACCCCAGTTCTGTATGAATAAATAAATAAATCTTAAAAAAAAAAAAAAAGTCAGTATTTTTCACTCACTGCCCTCTGCTGGAATTACATGGGAAAATATGATTAAAAGTTGTCACAGAAAACTTTTTAAAACAAAACATATATTCTGTTGAATAACCATAGTACTGAGGTTATTCACACATCTTTAATAAACTACACTGTATGAATCACATTTATCTTCAGAACAATTTTGTAATTTCTAATACTCCCTAATTCTCAAACAGCTCAAATGAATTGCTTCGGGGGCAAAAATCAAGTTTTCTCCTATGGGAGGGTATCTTTTAGCAAAGGGGAGGATTTTTGAATTAGAAAAGGTGATTGGTAAGTCATATGAGTGTAAGTAACATTAAAAAAGTCTAACTGATGAATATGACTGATGAAATAGAAGCCATCAAAAGTTACAGATGTCAAGTAAGATAAGACCTTAAAAAACGACTAGTACATAATTATAATACTGCTGATGAGCAAGTTTGTAGCATAATTTAATTTAGGGGGAGAGATATACTGCTCAATACACATAAAGGACACAGAAAGAATTGTATTGGGAAAACAAAAGTTGGAGTGCCCAGTAAGGGTAGGGACAAATAGGTGTTAACAATTAATTTAGGAATCATTAAATGGTAACATCCCCAATTGGTATATTCAGTTCTTTCCTCAGGGAATGAAAAATGAATTGATTCCATGTAAATAACCAATTTTTTTTTTTTTTTTAGATAACCATTTTTAATTAAATGTTCTGGGAGGAAAAAAAAACCGTGACCTGGATTCCAGAGATATAAGGGGTTCTTTCACTGTACCAAATGGGGTGCCAATTCCTGGAGTAGAGTAAAACTATTATTTCAGAATATTTTTGTTTTACTAAATTAAAATACCTTGTTAAAATTGTTTTAAATCACAGTCATATCTTCTCTGGACTACGACATTGGCCTCTAACTAATGTAACAAATCTATTATTGCTCCCTATCAATTCTCTAAACAGAAACAGATTAGTACTTTCAAAATGATATTTTTATCATATCATCACCTCACTTAAAATCCTTCACTGCTTCCCATGGGTACTGGAATAAACACAAAAATCCTTAACATGACATTGCATGCCATGTTATAGGACACTGCATGACTTCCTGCCTCTTCTCTAGAACCCACCATATTCCTTTCCTTCCCTCTCTCTTTCACTTTATACCACAACTACTTTGGTCCTGAAATTTGCTGAGTTTCTTGACACAGAAGCTTTTTATTCACTTCTCTGGCATTATCTTCATCTATGCAACAGCCAGTATGTCAAAGAAGTCATCCCTGGTTACCCATATTAGGTCACGTTTTGTTTCAAACTCCATTAATATAGCACATTAATCTCTTACTTTTACAGAACTTATCAAAACTGTAGTTTTACGTTAATTTTTACAGCGTTATAAGTAGTATCTCGCCACCCAGTAAATGCTAAATGCTGTGAAAACAGGGGACCACTTCCATTTTTGCTAGCCATGATCCAGAATAGCTATATATCCAGAATCTACTATAGTACCTGCCATATAATATTTGGCGAATGAATGAAGGAAAAATAGTCTCTATCAATAGATTATTCAATCTTGGAGCCTAATACAAAAAAAAAAATACCATTAAAAATACACAATCCTACAATTAGGATTCTGCTCTTATCAGTTTCATTCAACATAGGCTATGAAAATATCAAAATGAGAGTATTATGAGTTTACTTTCATAAGCTGCCTAAGTATTTCCACAGCTATTAGTTCTAATTACTGCAGTTTTATATCTACATGGAAATCATGTCACATGTATATATGGAATTAAAAAGTCAATGTTTCAAGGAAATACATCCTTTTTATTAATGAAAAAGCAGTTTAACTCTAAAAAACTAGAAAAGGCCTTAACATACCAGTTTCAACAAAAGTCTACAATAAAATCTAAGATTTCTTTTTTTAATACCTGTCACTTACATATATATTTCCTCAAGGCTATTTGATAAATCCGCACGTTCTTGCCCTTTAAGCCAAGGAGCACTAAATAAAATACAATAAAGAAGATTATTCAAGGATTGTTTATATCTCAAACAGACAAACAGAAATTACTGCTTAAACCAAAAGTTAGTTTTTGTTCAACTTTAAAAAATTATCTATTTCAATAAAATGCTATCTAATACTTGTATAAATCTATAGCTTCAAAATTCCAAAGTGCCTTCATTGGCATTAATTAATTTAATCCTCTCAGAAAATCATGTTAAAGCTAACATCAGTATTATTCAATCAAAATGGAATGATTTTAAAAACTAGGGTAGGTTCACAGAGTGTCATAAACCTGCCCAAATTTATCTAAGTGTCAACACAGATTCTAAAATCTAAATTTCCAGATTCACAGATTTTTGTCACACATCAGGAGTCCCCAATTTTTTCTATATGATACCTCAGAAACAACTCTAATAAGCTGATGGCATCACTGTAAATATATAGATAGATATACATATGTATATACATATATAAACTTATTCTGAAAAGCACATACAGGCTTATAAGCGTTCTGGATTATATCTATCATTTCCAATAAAGAAAAAATTACAGAACAATTACTAACAGCAAATTTTTTTCACTATGGTTTTAAAATACTACTAGGTAGTATTTTAGCTATTAGTAAAAGTAGGTAAAAATTTTAGTAATTAAGATTTTTACACAGTTTAGTTCCCATGTGATTTTTACAGTGACTAGGTAAATGGGGCAAGGCTGACCAAAGGTCACCTGCAAGTCTGTCAGCATGAAGGTTCCTCAATACAATCCGGGGAAAGAAGCAACAGAGGTGCTACAGGGTAAAATTACTGGAAGGCAGGACTAGTCCTAGGCAGAGGCATGTCAAGGAACTGTGACTAGGTCAGCAGATCGAGGTTAGGTGACATTCTGGGTGACACTCTGGACTACCAGGTGTAAAGAATAAAGTATCTAAAGAGGGAGGTTTCCTGTCCTATCTCTGCAGACAATTAATTCTATAGCCACTTTACTCCTATGAACCCTATGACTGATTCTCTTTTGTACTAACTGGCATACTTCAATGTGGTTTTATATCATTTTTTTATTTAAATGTGCTATGCCAAATTCAAAAGATATTTTAAGTTACTGCATATGAAAGTATTTTGTATCAATACAATATATGGTACAGAGAAACAACCCTTAAAAAGTATAATCTTTTGTTATAGAAATACAGAATAGAAATACAGAAATAGAGCTTACTTCAGTTGATATATAGGTGGAGCCGTACCTGGATATTCATTAGGTAGCATCACCTAGAGAGCAGTTTTAAAATAGATCTGTTTATATTTCATCATGGGTCAAAAACCACTACATTTATACATTTAGTCACTGTACAAATAAACTATATTTCTAAAACTAGACACTGAGCAAAGCTAATTGCGCCACACTAAAAAAATAAGATCAATTTTTGGTTAAATCTCTGAAAGAACTCCTTCTTAGTATTTATATCCCTACCCTAAATATGTTATGAATAATAATTTTGACTCAAGTTTGTCAATAATATATGAAAACATTTAAAAGAATTGGGATAGGATCGATTGAGACTATCAGTTAAAGCTCAAAGATTTGAGATTTAATTACCCATGTTCAGCTACTCAAGTTAACAAAAATCAATCATAAAAAAAAGATAACTTAGCAATTATCATACAATAGTATAATCATTACAAGAACACAACAGTAGTCAATCATATAGTGTAAATATTATAACTGTAAAATGACTATAGAGAAGGGGGACAAATACCTGCAAGCAAAGCGTCCACTTGGGGTCATCTATATCGTCGCTAATTCTAATACAAAATACTTTGGCACAGTCATCAATGACACACCACTCCTCGCCATATATAGCCGCCATTGCTTCAATTTCCTCATTCTGAAAGGTGATGGCGAGAGTCAATGAACATACACACTCCCAAAACCTGAATTTGCCTTATTCCTTTATAAGATATGCACTTAGCCAGCCTTGACAAAGGAGCCCAGAATTAAAGCTGCCTGTCACCATGTTAGAACATAGTTAACTGTCCCTGTAAAAATGGCTAGAACTAGACTTGTCACATTATTTTTGATCACTACTAAGCCCCCATGACAGTCACAAGTCAAAAGCTATCATCTTTTCTTCTCTGCTCACTGCTCCCCCCCTTTTTTTTTTTAAACAGGTAACCCCCACCCTCACTCCCCAATAGCACTGTCACATATTATTAGCTCTTTATTCCCATCTCATTTGTTTTTTGGGGGTTGGGGGAGGTGGCAGGCATTTGAGCACAAAACTGAGTGGCTTTGGCCTCTTTGGTAAACCAACCCCTCAAGGCATTTCACAAATTCTTTTGGGTGAAAATAGAAAAAAAAAAAAAAAACTGAACCTAAGTGAAAATGGGAAGGAAAGTATGTATTCAACTGTTTTCATCTCCTTCAGCGCTGAGCCCAGTAGTAGGGAAAGCGCTAGGAGAGCCCACGTGAGCCCACAGGGGAGGGCCCAGAGCCCCGAGGAGGGGCGATTCCGCGGCCCTCCGGAACTCCAGGGCTGTGCGGTTAATGCCCAATCTGCAAAGGCAGAAACCGGGGCTTCCGGTGGCTTTTCCAAAGAGACCCCGCAGCGACAGGTGCAGGAGCTGAGCCCGGTTTATGCCTCAGGCCCAGAGCTGCTCAGTCGCATGCTGATGGCTGATGATGGGGCTGTCCCGAGCAGGCCGAGCCCACCGACGCCCGGGAGAGACGCTGCACCAAGAAAAGAAAACCAGGCGGGGCACGCAGGGCAGTCGGCAGCCCGGGCGGTGCCGGCGGGACAGAGGCCTCTCAGGGCGGAGGGCGCCTCGGCGGCAGAGGCCCGGGGCGGCGAGGCCAAGTCGCGCCTGAGCTCGGCGCCCCGCCGAGGCCTCACCTGCCTCTGGTCGCTCCCTGCGTCCCCCTCAGCCATGAGGCCCCGGAGCGGCCAGGC